ACGCTAAATGTGGAAATTCTCGATTAATCTGATGCAACAATGAAATTTTTTGCCGTGTGAAGTCATTTTTCACAATCGTCATACATCATATACACTATAAAATTATTGGAATTATAACGTGATGACGAAATTTACACCACAAGAAAAATAGAGAAAAAGCGGAACTCTAAGAAAAACTATTTTATAGACTACTGAAATTACTAATTTAATGGATTTTAAAATCAATCACAGTGCTGGTGGCGTATTTACATATAATATATCCTACTCAAAACCGCAGATAACAGAAATGAATGGTGTTTGTATGTGGTAGCACTTGATATTATGTCCTAATATACTAGAATAATTGTATTGAATATAAGACACAGATACAATCGAAAAAATTAATCTAATCGCCAATAAAAGAACAATGACTGACAAGAGCATAAAGACAGCACAAAGTAATCGCAAAAGTACAAAGTTTGTACAAAACGAGAGAAGAAACCGAAATCAACCAAGGAGTGAGACATGGTTGCAGCCTTTCCCCATTGTCTTTAACAAATATATTGACAACGAAGACGTCCTCAAAAACTAAAAAATCGAAGACGTCATCTAAGCACCGTATTATTTGTAGATAATAAAATGATAGTGTAAGAAACAGAACGACAATACTTAGTGCTGGCTAATTGTGGAGAAGACCTTCAAAATCTAATGAAGAAAATAAAACAAACATGTGATCAGTATGGATTAAGACTAAACGTTAAGAAAACTAAATATATATGATAGCTAGCAACCAAAACTATATACATGATGAGGGTATAAAAGTCGGAGATTCCGTACTGAACAGAGTAGAGAAACTCGTGTATCTCGGCAGTAATATAAATGTCAGCTGAGATCCAACCGTAGAAATTAAAAGCCGCAAAGAACAAGCTCGAGTCACTTTTGTAAAAATGAGGAACGTACTTTGCATCCACGATCTTAGTATTGAACTTCGCATTCGAATAACATATTGCTATATTCTTCCAGTGCTACTGTATGGAGTGAAGTGTGGACCCTAAGTGAGACGATACTTAAACGTTTGCAAGCCTTTGAAATGTAGTTATATAGACGACTAACACGAATTAGCTGGGTCGACAGAGTTAGAAATGAGGAGATTTAAACATCGGTTAAACCAAATGTGTATGCAATATGACACCAAAATCTTCTTACCAAAGATTAAACTTATAGTATTTATTAAAGACAGCGAATGCTGTCGAAAATAATCATCGGCAGTAGAATAGAGGAAGTATTACATTTTCAGTACTTGTTATGCGACGGCAATTATGAATGAATACGATAACGATAAAGACAATTAAATACATAAATTCCAAGTGATATGTGGTATAATAAATAGAACACTACATCATAAAACAAAAAAGGTAATATTAATAATTAAAATGTCTAGAACAAAAAGAAGGCTTACGTGAAATATGAACAAAGAATAGAAATGAAATAACTGACAAACGTGAACCATATTACCAATGATTAATGAATAACATACCTCAAACAACTGAGCCAAAAAATTGGAACTACTAGATCTCCTCAAACACCGGAAATAATAGCAAACGAATTAAAGTAAATAACAGCAAGTGCAGTGGAAGAAGCTCTAAGCAGACTAAAAAACAGAAAGGCACTGGTTGAAAACGGGATAACAAATGTTCATAAAATATGGAGGACCAGAGTTAATTCAATAACTAACAATCATGATTGAATAAAACCACAAGATTAGGACGAATACTTGTGGAATGGAGCAACAGTATTACGTCATACTGTTTAATAAAGTCGAAAAAATGACCTCAGCAATTTATCAGATCAACAATAAGGATCTGAAGATCGGAAGATCTTGTAATGATGTGATATTTTTAATCAGATAAATAATAGAGAAATCTATAGAATTTAAAAAACCTGCACACATGTGCTTCGTCAATCTAGTAAAGGCATTTTACTAAGTGCTAGTCGACTGTACCTGTACATCTACTACATATTGTTCTACAGCTAATTCCTTGTGGCATCATGATGCAATGTACTATCTTAATTGGGAAACAAATATTATTTCGAAACAAAAATATTATTTTTTTTTTAATTTTACACCAGCAGTATAGTGAAGATATGTAGATGATGAGTTCTCAATATGGCCTCATGGATCAGAGTTGTCTGAATAATATAAACGATCAGAAGAGCCAATAACATTTTCCACGGAAAAGAATTATAATAACACCGATATTCCAGGATGTTTTAAATCTCAAAGCAGGATACTGGATATGAGACTGAGGTGTATAGAAAGTCAACACACACCAACAGATATCTAAATTACAAATCAAATCACATCAATATTAAACAATGAATCATTAAATTCTTATACGATAGAGCTAAAATTAGTTGTTCTAACGAAAATGTGTTCTTAGCCTTAAAATATTTGTTAAGATATGTTTTATTAAAAAATGATTATCCTTTGTCATTTATAAATAAGAAAACAAAATAAAAAAGAGAACAAATATTTGTATTTATAAAATACCTTGTGAATGCAAACATTTTTATTTAGGTGAAACAGCAAGACCATTAAATATTAGAATACCTGAACATCAATCTTATACCAAAAATAGAGAATTTGATAGATTTTGAATATGTAAACACACATGAGAAAATAAACATAAGTTCAATGGAAAGATTTAAATATAGTCCTAATAGAAACAGATGATAAAAATAAAAGACCAAAAAAGCGGCTTTAATTACGTTAACTGAAACCAATTGCATCACATAATCATCGGCAGAATGCAAGAGGATCTGATTAGTCATATTAAAATATTAAATGTAAGACTAAATATTTACAATGTCGGGAATAACCATGAGGTTTTTTTTTTATGATTGACTATATAATCAATAACAGGAGAATTTTACTGTCACCATTGCATGTGGTTCTCTTGTTAAAGACAAATCACACGCTATGATTTTTCTGTCGGATATTCTTAAATTACAGTCGATTTTAGGTAATCGAATGCACTATGTTTCAATAAAGTCGTAACAGAAACGCAACTGAAAAGTGTTGACTATATCAGCTTAAAGTCATTTACATTTTTTACCAAGTAACAAAAACACAATTTCTTTAATTTATTAAGGTTTTGTATTTTGACAACGATTTCCAAGGTGAAAATCCAAACTTCAAAATAAACCTATTTTTAAGTAAAATTGTGACTTATTCCCACTTAAAACCGTAAATCTACTACATAGTAAATAAGTACGAATAGAATAGCAGATTAACAGAATGGCACAAAATAGAATAGTGAGAAATAGCTCGAAATAAATCACCTATCGGAAGAAGAAGCATAGATCAGCCTAGAACGTGATGAAAGCACATTATTTCAATTAAAAGGAAAGGAGCAATGTTGAAAAAGCAGGCAATATGCCTAGATACAAGGGGAAAAAAAAAGTATATTTAACCGTGAGTCAGATAAATATGGGACGAGTAAATGAAGAAGAAATAAGTGGCGAATATAAACACAAGAATAAATTAAAACGGTTTATGTGAAACATAAAATCATAGAGAGGTTTATCATAAAAAGGCTTCTCTGCTTGGAAAGGATGTGAAAGACAAAGAACAGAATGCCTAGGAAAAATATATGTGGAAGCATGTAAAGATGACCGGCAAAGAGGAGATTTGGTTAAAGAACAGTTGCCGTGGGCAAAAAAAATAGAAAAATCCAAACCATAAAATTCTTAAATATGCAGGGTCGACAATAACAATACGACCCTTAATATTAAGGAAGAGGATACAGAATGGGAAACAAATAAGCAAAATACTGTGTTACACAGACAGAACAATATTGATATTGATGTAAGATGAAGATAGTCTGCAAAGATTCGTCCACAGATTTAACATAAGAGCAAAAGAATTTAATATGAACACTACAACAATAGTAATCGGCAAAAAACTAATAATATATAAAATAGAAATCGATGGCATCAGTATTAAACAAGTAATGGAAATAAGAGACCTGAACATAGATGTGAGAGATCAAGTACAAAAAGCAAATACACTGACAAGATGCTTTAATAACCATATGGAGCGAAGAGAGGAGGAAGAAGAAAAACTTAATATTAAGCCAATAAAAAATATCAATATAAAGAAAATCAGTCTTATATTTTAAGTATTAAAATGTGGAGACAATATAACTGCAAAAAAGGGTGAGGGTGAACTATCTGAAGAGAAAGACCTAAGCAGATTTGTAGAGGTTGAAGTTACATATTCTTTTATATAGAATTAAATATCATCTAAAGCAGAACTGATTGAAATAATACGATGACAATAAATTGTGATTTAATCATATTTAACTTAGGCATGCTACAAAAAAACAGTTTCAAAAATTAAATTAAATCTTAAAGATAACAGGTAGTATACCAAATAGAAAGGTAAGAAATTACCGGAACACCCTGTGCAAGTTTTTGAATATAAAAAATAGATAAAAAGAGCCTGTCGGATATCCAGACTTGATCTCATCTCAAATGAAGAAATGAGAAGAAGAACAGGAAGGATTTACAAAACCAGAGATACAATAGAATCCAAACTACTTTTATGGTGCGGACATGTAATGTCCGAAGACGAATGGTGACCAAAACAGGCGTTAAACTATGTTCCGTGGAATATAAGAAGAAGAGGAATACCAACATTAAAATGGAGAGAATGAATCAAAGATATAATGAGAGATAGAGTCATAAATGAGGATGACGTCGAAACAGGCGGAGATCGAAATGGGAGATGTGTCAGAGGCTGTAGGACCCCCGTAGATATATAAAAATAAAGATAACTATTAGAACATTAATAAAGCTTTATATGTGGTGATATATATGACCGACGTGTATGTTTTAAGTAATAGTTAAAATATCATAATAGTTCAGAATATGGATAATAAAAAGGTAAGTGTCCAAAAGATTTTTTAAAATAATTTTTTTTGTAAAAATATTTTCGAATTATATAAAACAAAACTTACCCATTGTTCACAGGTGTGGCAACTAATGCGGGCATTTTTCCACGAAAATTGTAAAACTCAAATTTAGAAATCAAGTATAAGACTTATGGTACATACAATAATACCCAAATATGTATTTTAGGTATATTTTATCGCACTTCGACACAAAACAGTCGAGCCTGTGGTATTTTGCAACTATTTTTCTGTAATTAGCCAGAATTATAGCGACAGAAATATAACAAAGAAAAAATTAGATAAAAATGTAAACAAATTATCTTTGGGTATATACCCTGTAACTAATATTCAAGTTGAAAAATCAATTGATATTGCAACAATACCCTACTATAGCTTTCTTTATATGGAAAAACGGTCCCCTCAGTTTTGGAGGGGACTTTCATAATATGACGCCGAACAGTAGCGTCACACAAAGTTCTTCCTATTATTCGTTATCAGTTTCAGCGATTATTTTAACCTATCGAGGATCGACCTTCAGCACATGATCAAACCGAACAGTCGTTGCAACATTTATTTTTATTAATTTTTAGAGAAATTTATTGTTTAGTATTTATTGTTTACAGATAAATTTACTTGAATAAATATAAAGTATTGTCAAATTGAGTAATTTTTTCAGAAAGTAGTTGTATTAATTGATAAAAAATTGTTTTTTTAATGGTTTAACTTTAATTATTAAAAAAATCCCTGCAGTTTGTTGTATCCCAGAAATATTTTTTATATTCTTCTTCTTGGTCTTTCAGATCTACTTTTTGATATTTTTTTAATTGCTTCTTCTGTCAAAAATCTTATGTTCTATGTATGTCTCCGTTTTTCTTTGAAACTGTAATCGTGAATTAATTTCTTTCTACTTCAGTATGATCTGGACTCTACCAAGAATTCACCAAGAGGGTAGCAAGCTGCTGGAATACTACGGTCACTTATCCATTCCCTTGATGCCTTACAGAGGGATTTCTACCAGCCAATTCGAAGTGCCCTCTACATAGATTCTATCTTCGGTGGATTATCGATATTTCTCACTTAGATTACACATTTTTAAGGATAAAAAATATCCAGCAACTAGTCGTGGTTCGTAGAACAGGAGGAGAGCCCAGACAAAGGGCTCCCAGGGTATAGGAGACCTATATGGGAGCCGGAGCACGACTAGCCTGTGACTATAAAATGTTCAATATTTATACATTTCCTTTTGTTTCGATATGGCCATTTTCAGTTAGCCAATAATAAAATTGTAGATGTTTTGAGACGGGCGATGCCCATTGAAGTGCGTATTAATCCACGGCAAAGACACACAATGACATTCCGCCTCCTTACAGAGCACAGATTAACAGAACACATTGAAGAGGGCTTTGAAGAAAAACTTATAACAGGGGCAGCTTTTGTAGATCTGACAGTAGCCTATGACACAGTAAGGCACAAAACATTGCTCCGCAAATTATACGACACTCTCAATGACCACCATCTGGGAAAGGTCGTATATTCCTTACTGCAAACTAGACGTTTTTTCATTATTCTGGAGGGTAAAGAAAGTAGGTGGAGAGTTCAAAAAAACGGCCTCCCACAGGGAAGTGTTTTAGCACCAATGCTCTTCAATATATACACAAACGCCTAACCTACTCTGACCGAAACCAAGCACTTTCTCTATGCTGACGATCTTGCAATATGTGCTCAAGGAAATAGTTTTGAAGAAGTGGAGGAGAAACTCGAAACTGCCTTAAAAACAATGACAGCGTAGACAAATTGTGTGTGGAATGGTAATGCATTAGAACACACAAACCAACCTATATATCTTGGAGTAACTCTGAACCGGTCCCTCACCTACAGACAACATTGCATAAAAACAAGAGGTAAAGTAACAACTAGAAACAGCATACTCAGAAAGCTAACGAGAAGTAAATGGGGCGTACGTCCTGGCGTTTTCAGAACAACGGCACAGGCACTGTGTTTTTCAACTGCTGAATATGCGTGCCCGTTTTGAAGCAGATCTGCCCACACCAAACAAGTTGATACTGCGCTAAATGAGACATGCAGGATAGTAACGGGGTGCATGAAACCAACGCCACTTTCAAATCTATATAGAACAGCGGGTTTTGCAGAACCCTCAACACGCAGAGGCGCTGCAGAACACATAGAGAAAATTAAACAGATCGCTGACGATCGGCATGCCCTATACAAAGCTCGAACACCACGAAAGCGACTAAAATCTAGGAAAAGCTTCCTGGGAATAGTGCAGGATGAACCGCCTGAGTATTTTCCACTCCCCCAGGTTCAATGGACCAGCCAGACCCTAGACTTTAAAACGTGGAAAACCTTGAATAGGATAAGAACGGGGGTTGCTACAGTAAAATCAAACATGGCAAAATGGGGAAAAATAGACCAAGATGATGTGAACTGTGACTGTGGAGAAGCACAGAATATGGAACATCTTATTACATGCAGAAACTGTCCTCATCGATGTACCCTTGAAGATTTGTGGCTCGCCAACAAAGATGGAACCGACGTAGCCCGATACTGGACCGAAATTTTATTAATGACATGTCCGGACACGATAAAATAAAGTAAGTCCTTTGAAGACTCTGTAGCTGGAAAAAAATTAATTAGTAAACATATTTATAAACAAGAACACAATTATATTTGCAGAAGAAAAGGTTCATAAAAGTTTATAAAAGCAAGTCCATAAAAAGTCTGTAATAGCTTATACCAAGAAACAACACAGCACAGCAGCTTCCGGTGGTCTTCTTCTTCTGTAGGTACCGTCTTCAGTCGAAGGAGCCTCACATTCGATGACTTCGTACTGCCCTAGACCATCAGAAACCCACAATAATTTGCCAGCCGGTTTTCTTAGCAGGGGTATGCCTGCACCTACGTAGTGTTCGTACCACATGCAGTAGGGTAGGAAGAGACTCCGCGGCTACTCCGGGGGCCTCAGTAGCTTCTGGGACTTTTCGCTTGTCGAAACCACCAGTCCCAGATAAGAAGAAGATATTTATTTAACCAAGCCACAGGAAGACTCTTAAGTGAAGAGACATTCAGAAATCACATTCAGAATACACAGGGATAAACACCTTCTGATCAGGGTCTAGGCAGATGGTTGTTGAAGACAACCAATCAGGGAAGTAGGTACAGGGCAAAAAAATGCGACGCTAATGACGCTACCTGCAAGAAAATTGAGGCTTTCGAAATGCGGCTTTATCGTCGAATAATGAAAATATCCTATACCGACCAAATTACTAATCAGGACGTTTTATTAAAAATGCAAAAAGAAAAAAAGTTGTTAACCACAATATAAAAAAGTCAAAATAGAATAACTCGGTCACATCTTGGAAAACAGCTGCAATTAATTCTACAAGGAAAAGTAGAAAGAAAACGAGGACCAGGAAGTCGAAGGATTTCCTGGCGGAAAAATCGACGTACGTGTTTCAGAGCAGCAGTTTTCAAAATAGAGCTTGCTATGTTGGTCGCCAACATCCAAAACGGATAGGCACTACAAGAAGAAGAAATATCGCTTACTTCGTTGATCATTTATTGCAAAATCGAAAGAAAACGCTGAGTAGGAAGAAAATAAGTGTCCTGGCTGAATAACATTAGATAATGGACAGGTCGAACGGTCAAGGAATTGATGACAATGCTTGAAAACAAACACGACACACAAAGAAGAGAAAGATCTCAGTGTTATGTCGGTTTCGCCATAAGGTATCTTGCCCGTCTACTTGCTTTTTGTACTTGATTTCTCACTTTTCTCTCTCTACGTCACCATAGCTGATCAGTGTAATTCCAAGGTATTTTATTTCCATTACTTGTTCAATACTTGTTCATAGTGGCCAATGACAAAGACGATATGCAATATATGATTAGAAAGCTGATAGAAGAGTATGAGGAATGGGGCTTGACAGTTAACGTAAATAAAACGAAATATCTATGTGTAGGCTCTCAGAGCGAAAATTTGGAGTTGGACAACGGTCAAGAAATTCTGCAATGTCAAGAATATGAATATTTAGGTATCACATTCGACAATACCGGAACAGATGTGAAAGAGATAGAAAAACGAATAGTTATAGCTAAAAAGATAATAGGATGTCTGAATGGCATCTTGTGGAGCAAGGAGATAACAAAAAGGAGAAAATTTAATATATACGAGACAATGGTTAAGAGCAGCCTATTGTATGGAGCGGAAACATGGAGAATTCCAGACAGACAAAAAAAGAAGGTAGAGGCAGTCGAAATGGACGCGATATGGATCTATGCGAGTCTCACGAAGAGAAAGAATGTGGAATGACCATATAAAACAACGAATGAGAATAGAAGGCACGATGATTTAGGATATCGAAAAGAAACAACTTACCTGGTACGGACACGTAGAGCGAATGCAAAATACTAGATGGACCAAAAAAATATCGAACTGGACCCCAATACGGAATAGAAAGCGAGGAAGACCCAAACTAGAGTGGCAGCAAAACATAAAAAAGTCAATGAGCGAACGGAATCTATCAACGGAAGATTGCCACGATAGAAGAGGATGGAAGTTAGGTGTCGGACAACGGAGAAGGAAGTTCTAGACCGGCATATATATATATATATATATATATATATATATATATATATATATATATATATATAAATATATATATATATATACCGGAAAAAGGAGTACCAACGTCAATCCAATATATTATAAGGATCACTCAGAAGAGTGGTGGGTTCTTATATCGGTCTCAAGGTGGAGAAACAAAACACAAAGTTGATAGGCTACTTTATCTATTTTGAAGACGTTTCGCTTTCGTATTCTGAAAGCATCATCAGTTCATCTAAAAAGTACAATATGAGAACCACACAATCATGGAAAAGATGTTATAAGTGTTACCTTAAAAAGACATGTAGCAGTCAAAGATATTTACAAGTTTGTGAATAAAACTCAAGTAAATGGACATTATACAGTAGTATTGTATAAACAATCAATTAACTAACAAGATTTAGCAACTTATTAAAAAATTAGCACAGCAACTGACCATGTGGTCTAAAGTATAAATAATATTTTATTTTATCTTAAGTAGTGAAAAAGAACCAAGAAAATCATAGATTTACTTCCAACTATTTGATAATTATTTAGCTTTGATTTTAACTTTAGGTAGCATTATTAAAGTGAAGTAACCGATCAAAGCCTTACAGCTGCTGCAGGGAAAATGGCGTTAATTGTAATAGACCGAACTAAACCCTGAAAAGACAGCCAACATTGAGATCAAAAATTTGACAGAGCAATAAGGTAGAAGTACCACCCCAAATAATTGGGCGGTCTATTTAAAAGTTTAAATGAGTTTGGATGACA